TGACTTTTTCACTCGGAATATTTCCCTTGAGCTCTGTCTGAAGTGTATCCATTTTTCATGTTTTACTAGCAAAAAAAAAAAACCCCATGGTACAAAGTGCTATAGTTTTGTTTTTAACAATTTATTCATTGAAACACGTTATTTTTCAGTTTGGAGCTATAAATTTGCTATGAAGTTTCTCTTCTTGTTTCTTACATAAATAAAAGTAATTTCTTTGTTATAAATACCCAAGAATATAGTTGTTCAGTTGTGTGAAGAAGCTATCGACTTATTTTTCAGAGTTAATTATACCATTTTGCTTTCTGTCTAGAAATGTGCTGACCCACTTTTTTTGCCTTCAGAACATTGAGAGTGTCACTATTTTTTGTTTTATCTATTTAGATTCATTTTAGTGATATTTCACTGTGGTTTCATTTTTTTGTTTGTTTTGCACTCAGGACCTTGCCCTTGCCAGGCAGCCACCACGCCTCTGAGCTCCATCCCCACTCGTGGTTTTAATTTGTATTTCCATGATGGCCAATAGTGTTTAATCCCCTTTCATGTACTTGTCATTTTCGTCCTCTTCAGTGAAACAGCTCATGACTTCTGTCTTTTCCCTAATTAGAACATTTTTTTATACTGTTGAATTTTGGCTGATCAATAAATAATTCTAAAATTGATGCTTACAGTTGAAAAACTCAAACATAATAAATAAGTGTTTTTCATGCTCTTTAAATCTGAAGTAATCTTTAAAAAATATTCCAAACGTAAAAAAATTTTACCCCAAGTTCAGTATTTATTATGCTTTTTTAAAAATTGAATCCCAGTCCAAAAAATGAAAACTTCGTTTTAAAAACTACTTTCATGTTCAAAGTACATCTCTTGTGAATCATGTGCGAGTGGTGCCGAGGATGGAACTAGGGATGCTGTGCACTGAGCTCCATCCCCCTCACCCCCTTTTCTTGTTCTTTAATTTTGAGACAGGCTCTCACTCAGTTGCCAGGTGATGTCAAACTTGGGATCCTCCTGCCTCAGCTTCCTGAGTTGCTGGGATTCCTGGTGTGCATTATCATCGTCTGAACCCTGTTTTGGATCAGAGTTGTCAGTGACCATGTCTGTCCGCTCCTCCTTTGGGTCCTCAGTTACCCAAAATGAGCCACTTCCTCAAACAGTACTCTGCTGTAGGAATTACCTTTCAGGCAAGCGTTCTGTGCATTTTGTGCACTTTCCTTTTTACCTTAGCTTCATTTTCTCTCTCAACTAAATCAAATACTTCCAGACACTAAGTGCCTTTGCTCAAAAGGCAAAAGGGTGCTGCGGCCCTGTAAGCGCAGCCCTTTGGGAGGCTGAGGCAGGATGCCAAGTTTGAGCCCACCCTGGTTACTGAGTTAGCAAGACCCCAAGGAGGGCCGGGAGCAAGGGAGGAAGGGCCGGGGAAACCACAATACCTGGTACATGTTTGGGTGGGTAGGAGTTTTATGACAGATTTTCATCTGACATCTTAGAAATCATGTGTGACACATCAACCCATCGTTCCTGCTGCTTTCTTGCACAGTTTTTCTTTTTTATTTTGCAATGCTGTGGACCCAGGGCCTCACACATGTTAGGGAGGTAAGTACTCGACCACCGAGCTATAGCCCTCCCAAACCAGTCCTTTTGCATATGTCACAAAGCTTCATCTACTTGCAGGGTATTTTCCTTTCTTAGAGATTCCTTTTTTTTTTTTTTTTTAAATAGGCACTCTGCTGTTCCCTAGGGAAGTATGAGTTGCAGTATTGTAATGATACATTTGTTTCAGTAACGTAAAACTGAGCTCTAGCTGTCTGATGTTGTATTTTGCTATAAACAGCTTTTTATTTTATGGTCCCTTGGTAATGGTTTTGACATGCATGAGCCCCTGGGGCTGTTTCACAGCACACAGAACAGCCTGGAACAACTGTGCCATGGCCCTCAGTCTGTCAGAGCACACGCTTCCACGTGGTTTCAAATGTTATTGCAAAAAGTGTGTCGTGTCCCTTCCATCTATCACTGATCACAAAGAGTGAGCGTGGGCCTTCCCCCGCAAGTGCCTGGAAGACTTTCCTCAGGCGGTTCTTGTGCAGGCGCTGAGGATCTTCAGGCACACACTCCCTGCCCTGCGGACCCTGGTCCGTCCACCTGCACCACAGCTGAGCGCCAGGTCCTCTGACCCTGCTTCTGTTTCTTGTAACTAACCCGGTGCAGACACGGCTGCAGCCACCGCTGCAGCTGGCTTTCATGTTTCCCTACTTTCATTTTTGTTTTCTTCAAAATCCTGTTTTGTAGCACCCCACACATTTAAAAAACCAACGCAACGAGCCATTCCCATAGGTGAAATTCGGCTTGATCAGTTCTCTTCTGCACAGGTGTATGAGCAGAACACAGTCCCTGATCTGGAGAATTTCATTTCAGGCCTTAATGAGTTAGGTCGCTTTCTTCACACATTTATGCTCCTGTCCAAAACTGAAGACTCACAGGTCTTCTTGAGGAGGTTATTAAGTCACCAAGGCGATTCCAGCAAAGCCCCTCAACATGGGGTCTGGCTGTGGTTAGTAAGAAATACTGGTGGTTGTGATATCCAAGCTAACACTGGAAACAGTTGTTAGCACTTGCACAGCAGGGGGCGCCTTCTCTGGGCTGTGGTGCAGACTTTCTGCTTTTTAAAGCTTTTGCAGTACTGGGAATTGAGCCCAGAATCTTTACATTGTGCTGTATCCCCACCCCTTTCTAAAATTGTTTGAGAGCAGGTCTCATAAAATCACTGACTGGGCTTAAACTTGCAATCCTCCTGCCTCAGCCTCCCTGTGTGCTGGGATTACAGGAATGAACCACCAGCCCTAGTTTATATTGGATGCTTACAAAATAAAGATAAGCTTGAAATTTTAAGATACCATGAGTTTTAGACTCTTCCTTTTCTAGACTAAATAATACTAGGAGGATTGCAAGTTCAAGGTCAGCCTGAGATAGTGAGACTCTGTCTCAAGCAAAAAGACAGTAATTGTTATTTTGGTCTCACCACTCTCCTTAGATCTTTTTTATTTACAAATGTCCCAGAAAATTTGGTCTTCAGTTCCTTGGAGGGGCAAGTCCAGAAGGCTTTGTCCATAACTGGTAGTCTGTTTTCCTTCAGGCAAGAATTTAAAACATTGAATTTCAGTCAAAAATTACTACTTTTTAAGGCAAATTCAATGGGTGGGTTCCCCTGTTATTTAATAGAAATGTTAAACTGAAAACCGACTCACTTTGGAGAGATTCTGCCCTCTGGCGTGCGTGTTCCTCTGTATTACTTGCTGTGACAGACATGGCATGAATCACTGTGAAAGGGGAACACAGATTGTAGCTGTAAATCATCACTTTTGTTTCCCAAGGGTCGCAGACACAGCGTCATTAATTATACGACAGCACCTGAAAGCTCTAAACCTACAGAGACAGTAAGGCTCTCTGGAACAAAACAGTATTTTGAGAAAAAAATTTTAGATGAGAAATTTCAGACATGGTTATGGTTGCACAATAATATGCATGTAATTAGTGGCACTGAATAGCACACATAAAATGGTTAAAATACTAAACTACATTTTAGATATATAGATACATATCACAGTAAAGAGAATAATTCCGTAACTATGGATATTTAATTAGCCATACATCTCTTTTAAAGGGTCAGTAACGAAATACAAATTTGGAGAAACTATCCAAATTGACTCCTGGAGTGTTTAGCAGGAGAGCTAATTTTGGCCTGAAGTAAGTCCCTAGGCTTACACATGAAGGAGGTACTTAGAATATTGCACCTTTTACTCTAATACTACATGTGATAAGCATTTAAAATATGAGTGTAACAATTACCCATCCATGTCATTTCCTAACCCTGTTCTATTTCCTGTATTTTGTAGTCAGCTGAGCCAGTCATCTTTCTGTGTTACCATTTTACAAATGAGAGCTCATGTCAGATGCCTGGAGTGAGGTCACACAGCTACAAAGGACATGGGTGCTAAGCTGAGTCCTACTACAATTCCATGACTCATCTTTGTTATTTAATGAGTACCTATTATTTGCTAGGCACTGGGAATAGAATAATAAGCATATAAAGTCTATGTCCATTCTCAAATAATTTATAATCTAATAAAAGACACATAATCCCTGCAGTTCCTGTACCATGTGACCATGTGGTAGGGTGGATACAGTGGACTATGAGAACTCTTCTGAGGGACTATTTGAAACAATACATAATATTCCAAAACATCTAATGTCTAGTTCAGTTTATAGTTTTATAACTACATGAGTAAAGCCTGAGTTTCTCATCATTCTTGGAAACTTGCTAAATTTATAAAGTACAATCCAAAGCAAGCCACTAAAGCTGGTACATACATGGTGTGGATTGAAATTCAGCCCTAGGGCTGGGGATTTAGCTCACTGGGATAAACATCTGCCTGGCAAAAGCAAGGTCCTGAGTTTGATTCCCTGTGCCAAAAACAGAAAAACAGAAACGAAATTCAGCTCTAAAAGTACTTTTACCTCAACATCTTTCTACCATTCCTTCCCCATGGTTCTACTGAAGTCTAGCACTTAAAAGTTCCTCGTGCATCAAAGGATTGAATAAAGTCAGTACATGAATAAAGCCTTCTAAAATCAGGCCTTCCTGTTAGGTTGGGAAGTTCAGTCTGACCAGGTAGACAAATCTGTTCATAACGCATCATTGCTGTTACAGCTTGGAATACTTCACCAACCCCCTGAAAGGGAACATGTTCTTAAAAAAAAAAAAGGCAGACGATTTGGCTCTGCAGCTTTTGCCTTAAACTGTGACATCTAAAGTTTAAAACTAATCTTGTACAGTATTTTAAGTGTAGTGTTGAACCTGCTGAAAGATCAAACATGTTTAGACACAACTTTCATAGTTGAGATGTATTTTCAGTGTCTTATAAATTATGGAAATTTCTAATGGTTTTATGATCTTATTGGTATGACTCCTAAAGGCCATTAATTTATTATTTTCTCCTTATTTTCAGGTAAAGAAGATACCCCTTCATTACTCGGTCTCTGTGGGTCTCTAACATCAGTGGCAAGTTATAAATCTCTAACGAGCCTAAAATCAAATGACTGTCTTCCAAGTCCTACAACAGAGATAGCAAGTCCAAGCCCAACTCCATCCTGAAAAACTTACAGAAAAGCCGGAAGTGTCCATACTGTACATGTTCAGTTTACACAAGCTTGACTTCAGGGCAGACCTTTGGAATTGTATACAGTGTCGTTCTGGTACATGTCTGGAATTGTATTGCTTAGGGAATTTCGTGCTCCACGTAAACTTGTAAGGGAAGAATGTAGTAGTCTTGCCATTTTTCATTTTTAAAAACTTGTATTTGTCATTGACAAGGTATTAAATTCAATAGGCTTTTCAAGACTTTCAGAGATTCTCCAAATTAAAAAGTTCACTGCAAATTATACATTATTATTCAACTGACTTTTATGTATGTTTATTCAAGAGACTTGCGCTGTTCCCTTTCCCTCCTTTATTAGATGATTAAATGTTCCAAAAGAAGGCAACTAATTAATTTTACTTCTATTTATTTTCTAAACTTGTGCCGTACTTTGGTAACAGGAAGGGCTCTTAGCTGGGACTCCACGGGGGCCTTTGCAGCTTTCCGGGAGCCCACAGCCTTGGCCACTGAGCTGCATTTCCCGTCACTAGGCTGTTTGTTAGTTCTCATGTTTGGTACCAACTCAACATTCCATTTCACATTTTATAAATTTTGTAGGATGTGCCTTTTTAGGCAGTCACTAACTTATTTGTAAAGGTGATAGGGAAAGTATTTTGTATACACGTCTTTGTTTTCTCAAGATTTTCTTTAAAGATTATCAATTTTAAAATGTGATTGAGTATGCCTGGAAAGTTGACATTTCCAAATACAGAATAAAGAATGTTGAGAAGTTACATCAGAAACATTTCAAGTTCAATGAAGAATTTGAAAAGCTTCTGAACAAACATGTCCAGGGTAACCACTATACCTACCAATAAACATCTGTCTGCTAAACTGTGCTGTTTTTTTCCTGTGCAACAGTGGTGAATCGTAACATGTATGTTTCACAGCCTCTATCACTATGCCATGTCATTTTAAAACTGATGTTAATGTTTGAAAATCCTTACATTTCTGGAGGTGGTTTTTTTAATAATCCATATTGTAAATCTGTTTGCAATTTTTGAAAGTTATATTTGTCCCAAAAACTCCCACCATATCGAAAATGAAAATAAATGAAATATATTTTCTATAGTAAGTAATATGAAGAGAATATGGTTAATTGTGCCAAAGAAATTTTATATATTGTTTATATGAGGAGGCCACAATACTTATTGGGAATTTCATATGGTATTTTTATTTAATAAAATACTACATTCAAATATAGTAGCTTTGACACATGAAGAATGCTCCATCTAATACAATTTTTTGTGAGAGCTGAATTTACCACATTCATTCTTTATTTTAGAAATGTAAGACTGTGATGGTTCTCTGTAGTAGTTAGAGCTTAGTCTCATAATCCAGAATATAAAATTCTAAGGTCAGTTTTACATGTGAGACAGTCCACCAAACAGTGTCATTTCAGGATCAAAGGAGGACTGGAAGCCCTTGAGTTATCTTAGATATGCCAGAGCATTCTCAGAGCTTTATTCTTTTAGTTTAACTCTTGTAGAAATGTAAATATTCCTGAGAAATGGCATCTGTCCCTTTAATCTACTCTCAATTCTGTATACTATATAAAGAATGACAAATCCAAAGCAGTTTTTAATCTGCATGGGAGGTGGAAGAAAGGCATCAAATGAAGAACTCTGGGAGGGCAGAGTGCAGAAATGGATGAGGGGAAGTTGGGGAATTTTAGGCTGACTTTGAGTACAATTGCTGCTTGCCTAAAAAGTGTCAGGATGTTGAAATGATTTATCTGTGATCCATACTCAGCTGACATTTATGTCCTTTAGTAACTAAACAAAACTGTCAAATGTCTCCACACATTTTTATAAATGTATAAGGAAATTCAAGATTACTAATTGGTAGTTTTTCAGATTTATCTAATGAAAACTAATTTGTGCACCTTAATGTGCTGATAAATGCAGATTTAAACATGACATCTGAGGATCATAATTCTTCCTCCTTTCTTGGAGATCTCACTATAAAATTCATTTGCTATTGTGAAATCAGATTTCTACACGATGTATTTCACACTGTTTATAAGTAGTTTGTAAATGTTGCATGAAGAAACAATGTATGTCTCAAACTTTGATTTTAGATTAGTGGTTTTTTTTATTACCTCCCAAAAGAACACTGAAAATGTCGGTATTTCCATTTGTATTTTGTTGCTTTGATGTACTATACTTGTTGCATGTATATTAAAGATTTTGTACCATGAAGAAATGACCTTTTTTCCTAACCAAGTTACCTGATTGAAATTGTACACTGAATTTTTGTTTAAACTGTGGTAAATGTTCACATTTCTAATATACTAATATATACTATATTTAGATAAATCCTTATTTCAACTTGAATACTATTCTTTATAAATTCATTAATGTGTAACATAACATTCCAGTCAGTGATAGCCAACATATATGACAGTGGTCTCACAAGATTACAATGGAGTTGAAAAATTCCTATCACAAGTGACACTGCAGCTTTTGTATTGTGGCTGACACAAGAAAAGTTCTGAGATGCATTTTATTTCAAAGATGAAAAGGAGGAAAAAGAGGAAGAAGAAAAGAAAGGGAAAGAAGGAGGAGAAAAAAAAAGTTCTGAGATGACCTAAATTTAATTACAAGGGTAGAGATAGAAGAAAAGGTAGCAGAAGGCAGTCTGTTAACAGCTTGCAGGTAAAACCCAAGACAAGACTGTTCACATTTCTGAAAGTAGGTCGAAACTTTGACTTAAATCCCATCACTTCCCACCACAAGGCCACTATCACCTGTGTAAGCATAAACTTAACCCCAGCCAATCCAGAGTGGTACTTCCCTGTTACTACCACCCTACTCTCAGCCTTCCCCTACTCCAGCGTTGTATGCTGTCCCCCACCCATCTGTAGCCAATGTGGATTTCATTTATCCTTTCATTCCTCAAAGGTTTGTTGTAAAACATTTAGCTCCAGACTAATGAACATTTTTCCAACTATCAGTCTTGTTGCTGGGAGTTGTGGAAACTTGTCCCAAGACCTGGTCCTTTTTCTGGCTAGCATCTGTAAGAGATTAATAAACTCTTTTCTTCCAAAGAACCCTGGGTCTCAAGAGTTTTGGTTTAATATTCGATAGCAGCAACTGTACCGAGTTTTCAAAGAAGATGTAATTCTCTAAGGAATTCTTAGTAGCAAAATCCTGAGACTCGGGGCCGGGGATTTAGCTCAGCGGTACTTCCCTGTTACTACCACCCTTCTCTCAGCCTTCCCCTACAGGCATAAGCACCTGTCTTGCAAGCAGGCGGTCGTGAGTTTGATCCCCAGTACCGATAAAAATGAAAAAAAAAAAAAAAAAATCCTGAGACTCCAACCAAGTTAAGTGACCCTAACTGGGTTCCTCTGACAGAAACACTAAGTCTCTTGGAAGACAGGTGACAGAAACACTAAGTCTCTTGGAAGACAGGATAGGCAGATGTCCTGAAGACACTGGTGTAGGCAGATTTTATAAACAAAACCTGGATCACACAGAAACTATCACAAACAACTGGGATTTCATTAAAAACGTTTTGCACAGCAAGAAAAACCACTAACAGAGTAAAAAGACAACACACAGTGTGGGAAAAAAATTTTTTTTCAGCTGTTTTCTCAGACAAAAAACTGCTATCTAAAATAAGCTCCAAAAAATTAGACCCCTCAAATTCAAAGACCCAATACGAAAATGGGCATCTAAAATGAATATACTCTTTTCAGATGAAGTAGAAATAGCAAATAAATTATGAAAAAATGCCCAGCATCACTGGTCATTTGAGGGATGCAAATTAAAAGAATGTTGAGATTCCATCTCACCCCAGAAAGAATAGCAGTTATCAAGAAATCTGTCAAAAAGAAATGCTGACAAGGCTGTGAGAGGGGGTGAGGAAAATCCTCCACTGTTGGTGGAAGTGTAGACAGCAGCAGCTGTTGGAAATCATTGCGGCGATTTCTCAAAACACTAGGACTAGAGGTCCTGTTGTTTCAACTAATGTAGTAAATACTATTCCCCTTCTGGGTGCCATCCCAAAAGAATTAAAAGCATCATACTTCAATGATATATATGCACGCCAATGTTTACAGCAGCACAGCTTATAATAGCTAAATTTTGGGAACAGCCTAAATGTCCATCAACCTATGAATGGATAAAGAGTGGTTCTTCTGTACAATGGAGCACTACCCAGCCATAAATGTCCCAGAATAATCTCAAGACATTTCTAGGTAGATGGATACACCTTGGAAACATACTCTTAAGTAAAATAAATCAGGCATGTGTGTAAATACCACATAGTTTCTCTGGCATAAGAAACCAAAAGTGTGAAGGACCACCAAAATATATAATAGATATTATGAAATAGGAATAAAATGTTCAAATGGGAAGGGAAGCTAGGGAGAAGGGAGGGGGAAAGAAGGGAAAAGAAAAATGAGGGGAAGGGGCTAAAGAGAGGGGAGGTGAATGGGGGAAAGATAGATCATGTACAGGCCTAAATTCCCTATGGTGAATGTGATCATTATGTACACCTAAGATTTACCAATAAATTTAATTTTTAAAATGCAGAAGAAATGGACAGATTCCTAGATACATAAAACTACCAGAACTAACCAAAAAAGTATTTTCCTAAAAAAAAAAAAAAAATGAAACCTCTGAATAATCCATTATCAGGCAATGAGATTGAATAAATAACTTTAAAAATTACCAAGTAAGTAAAGTGTAGGTCCTATGGATTCACTCCTGAATTGTACAACTTTAGGGAGGATCTAACACCAATACTCATCAATCTTTTTAATGAAGTCAAAAGCGAAGGAGTAATCCCTAAGTCATTCTTGGAAGTTAGCATTACCGATTCCAAAACTAGAAAAGAACCCAACCACAAAACTGAACTACAGGTCAATCTCTTTAATGAACACTGATGCAAAATTCTCAACAGGATACTGTCAAACAGGATGCAATAAATCACCAAAAGGATCTTATTATTATCATCATGATGTAGGAATCCCCCCAGGGATCCAGGTATGGTTTCATATACGCTAATCGGTCAATGTAACACACCACATTAAAAGCAAAAAATCAAAATCATCTCAACTGATGCATAAAAAGCCCTTGACAAAGTCCAAAATGGATCTGTGATTTAAAAAATAATAATTTTAAAAACCTAAAGAAGCTGGATGTGGTAGTGCACACCTATAATCCCAGTACTCAGGAGGTTGACTGCATTTCTTTTCAGCTTAAACAAGGAGAAAGAGAAAACTGTATCTTAGTCATTACAGCACATTGTAAAAGTACACTATAATATAACCAAATCTTTTACATTATTTTTAAAGGTTGTAAGTCCCATTTTCTACATTGTCAATTACCTTTCCAAAACCCAATACTGACTTATAGCTCAGTGGAAACTCCTTCCTTGATTTCCTATGGCCTTGCTCCTCCTTTGACATACAAGATCTCTGACCGCATTTCCAATCTAATCTCACACCATTCACATGTATGTACACATTTTGCTCAAGTCATGGAGAAAAATTCTACTGCTTTTTGTATCCTACCTTCTACCAAGTTTAACTGGATTGCCCTGTGTTGTAGTCAGGGGTTGTACACAGAGAACAATTCACATCAGGACATGGAGTTTATAATATTTTTATAACCGGCAGTCAACACAGGAGAATGCAGGAAATCTATCTACAACACCAATGACATAGATTATTTAGTCAAGAGCCTAAACCCCACGGCAATGTCCCACATGAGTCCAGATAAAAACCCAGAGCTCAGAACAACGCCTCCACGAGTCCAACTAAAAGTCTAGAGCCCACAGGAAGGACTCACGCCAGTCTCTTTCACGGATTCGTGCCGGGAAGACCCAAGAGTCAGCAGTGGAAGCCAGAAAGTCTATGCCAGCAGGATGAAGGAGCTGTGCTAGTGGGATGAGGGTTCTACACTGGAGCTGAGAAGTCACACTCACAACAAAGAGCAGGGCTGTCCTGAAAGGCACCACAGCTGTCCTTAGCCACACGGAGGCCCCAAGCTCCTCCGACGACAAGCACAGTCGGGTACGTGCCAGGAAGCAGCATGACGAGTTCATCCTGGAGACCAGGCAGCACATGTCTTCCCCTCCGGAGCCAGGAAGCAATGCTCGATGTGAAGACCAAAGCTTCTCCAGGAGAACCAACAGCTCAGACAGCAACTCGCAGGAGAACCCACAATGTCTCCACGCCTCAATCCCTCCCAACACCTCTCTTCTTCTCCACCTGTTTATCCTGGCAACCCTCCTCAGGTGGAGAATCTTCTCTCAATGCACGCTGATGTAATCCAGCTGGCGTTAAGTTGACCACCAGTTTTCAAACCATAACACCCTGTAAGTCCTAACCTTAAACATCTTGACAATCTCTGCTTCCAAGATAAATGAAGAGCTCCTCAAAGTTCCCATAATTCTCTTTGCATACTTCTATAAATCACAATTATGAAATCTCCTGTGCCCAGTGGTAAGACTCAAAATATCTTCTTCAGTATGCTGGATTCTGCCTGCCACATAGAAGAGCTCAAAAATTGTTGTTAGATTAAAAAATAAGAACAACGTTTTATTTTAAATGTTAATGTTGGAAAACAGTTTAAAAGTAACACACTAAATTTACCCATACTCCTAACATTTGTATGCAGATAAAAGAAAATGGAATTTAAAGGACTGATGCAGTTAAGTATTTTCCTAAAAAAATATTAAAGTTCACACCAACTTTTTAAGTTATATGTATTAAAGCTTCATTCAATATCTGAATGTTCAAGACACTTAAAATTTTTACATTTAAGTAATTGATAAAAATTTAACTTCAATGTTATAGAATTGTCTTCTTTAGAAATACCAGATTTTTTATCTTATTTTTAAGTTTCCTTTCTTATTAATGTTTGTGATACACAATTCCACCCATCTTGGGGAACTGAGTCACACAGATGCATCTACATCATTTCCATTTCCCCTTCGCCCCCCTGCCTTCCCCAGGCCTCGCCCACTTCCATACTCCACTCCGGTTCCTATCTTCTATCTCAAACACTGTTTAGACTATGATTTACAAATACTGGAATTCTCACTTACATGTGATTAAAAAGACTGGGAAGCTGTATGGCTTAAAAGCACTGATGTGACGTGAAGCAGAGGATAGCATTACTACCAATAATATTTCCATTATTGACATTTTGTCCCAGAACTTTGGGACAAAATTGAAAAATTAGCATTAATTATCTTAGCTATTTCGAAGACTAAGTTTATCCAGGTAGTCTTTCGACAACAGAATACAATAACTACTAAGGCCAAAGGCTGAAATAATTTCTAGCAAACTTTTGTTGTTAATATATTTTTAAGTATTAATGTTTCTTTATCACTTTTATACACAGTTAAGTCCGTGAGTTCTGTTCCAAGAGAATGTTCCTAGGATTCCTTCAAAATCTTACAAAGTGAGTATATACAGCATACCTGCGAAAGTTCATAATTCAAATGTTCGTAGGTCAGGGACTTACAGTACAGAAAACTTCAACTGAGTTTCCCATTTGTTCAGATACACTGTTTGCAATATGTGATAGCAAAACTGCTAGGGAATTAGATTTCACTTATTTATAATTAAGAATTTTCTTCAAGTGTAACACCAGGATTGGGGAAATAGAAAGTTTTTGACAATCCAGTGACATTTAGTTAAAATGTGTGACTCTGAGAGCATAGTATCTTCTTTTTCATAAGTTGTAGAAAAGCATAGCAAACCAAAAGTAAATTTATATAATGTAATGTAATGTCACACAGCAGTACTAAAAATAAACTTCCAAATTATATAAAATACAGCATTATAATTTTATCAAAAACTAATTACAAACACAGTGGTAATTTTAAGCATAAAATAGTTTAATAAAAAATATAAGAAAATCATGAATATTTAAATTGATATGGGTATATATACAGTAAATTTAAGGTAAATCAACAGGGTAAAATAAACATAAAAGGTTGCATTCAAATTCTATATAGTTTATTTCTCATGAAACATACAAATACATTTCTACTACAATATAAAAATGCATTAATTCCCCTACCAACACTAGAGAAGATCTGTCACCAAAATACATCACTATATTTTAGTGGGGGGAAATCTTCACATTTTCATACAATATAAACTGAATGCAGAAACATTCTTTTCCATGTAAGACAGATCCTACAAAAATCAAGTAAAAACATTAATAAAAGAAAACTACATCTCATCCTGTTTTGGGGAGGGAAGGGATAAATTCCAGGGCTTGTTCATGCTAAGCAAACACTCTACAACTGACCTTTACCCCCAAGGCATTCAGATCCTTTTTAAAATCTCATTCCTACAAACTGTGTTAAGCTAATCTCTTCTTGTTTTTCTTTTTTGCACTAGGAATCAAACTCATGACCTCACACTTAGCCAGGCAGAGACTGCTGCTGAGCTATATCCCCAGTCCTAACCTAAATTCTTTAATCATGTATAACGTCTGGAAGAAAACAGTTTCTTGTTTAGTCTTGTGGCCTGTCATATTAACGTGAGAGAGATATTGTAAATCAAGACACTCTGAAAATATTTTAATTTCCTTTTTTTTTTTTTTTTTTTTTTTTAGATTTTGGGATATTTATGTATATATAGTGAAACCTTAGGGAAGGAATGCGAGTCAAAATACAAAGTTCACTGAAGTTTCACAAACCTCTTATACACATGGCCTGAAAGGAATTTGATGCATTTATTCAATGTGTCTGCATTTTGACTGCAAATCTTATTTTGTGAGGTCAGGTGTAGAACTTTCCACTTGTGGTATTAAAAAGCTTCAGGTTTTAGAGCATTTCAGATTTTAGATTTTCAAATTAGAGCAGCTCAACCTGTAATGACTGCCATATTGTCAAAAGAAAATCAATAGAAACGATCTGGAGAACCTCCTGCATCCTAAGCTGGCTATAGTCCAGAGGCTGCTCCTGTGCCAAAGAATTTATCTTTTATCTTATAATTGCAATGTGGTTTCTACGGCAGATCCATGTCTAAGTGAACATTCACTACATCAGTAAAACCTCTCTAATACTTTTAATCAGAGATATTGTAGTCCACATGAATCCTTGAAATAGTAATGCAGAAAGAAAAATAAGTGCATATGAATTAAAGAAATTATGAGGTGATATTCAACAAATATGACAAATGCTATTAAATGCTACCCTTTATCACCTCCTTTCCTGAAGTATCTATTTACGTGATCTGAATGTGCACAAATCTTGACCATTTTTCTTCTAGACTATCAGGGACTTGGCCTACATCCCCAGTCTCCCAAACAAGTTATGGAGAAGGCTTAAATAAATGAGACAGGTGGTATGATTTTAGGGCTCCAGAAGGATCAGACCCTCTGTAGAGTCTGAGACTCTGGGGGCTGAGACAAAGAATATCTCAGGGTGGCTCATACTGATTTAGTTTTCAGACAAGGAAGGGGTTAGAGTAGAAAACCCAGGAAACTGAATAGACCTTGGGAGTGGTTCAAGGACTTTTCCAAGTAACAGATTATGTTTAACTTAGGAGAACTATCTCATGTTAATTTAGGAGAAGAATTTAGGAGAAGATCTCAATGTTGCATTTCAATACAGGAGTAAAATGCTTGCAGCTACAGTGTTTATTTAGTTAAGTGTGGTTGGAGCCAGGTAGGTGTCTTCAGCTGTGGCCTTATCTTGCCCTTTGAGGCTGTATCTCTTTGTTTTCGGGTCAGCCATGCCTGGCCATGCCATAACCCTGTACATGTGTTCAACTTCCAGTTTCAACAGCTCCCATGCTAGACTTTATCAAGTACAATTCGAAAGATTCTTTCTTATCAGACAGACTTAAGTTACACTGAAATCAAACTCACAGTGCTTTTGATGTGAAGTAGTATTTCTTTAGCTGATAAGAAAATAAAATGTTGTGTTTCTGGAATATTTTTTTTAAGTCTCCGAAAATAAGAAAATTTTTATTTTAAAACTAAGATTATGACTTTGAGGTAGAATAGAAATTGCTGTTCATTTAAATTACAGGAAATGAAATAAAATCATTTTAAGAGAATAAGCGTTAAAAAGATCTAGCCTACAAGACTCCATCTTATTTGGCTCTGATTCTTTCAGGCTGAAACTGGATTACTGCAGCTGCTCCCTCTGATCATTCTGCCTCTGGAAAAAAGCCTTCCCAAATTCATATGTACTGATCATGATGGCACAAGCAGGTGCAATTTTGACTAAGCGAGGAATCAGACCTAAAAATAAAATGGGAGAAAAGAACAAATTTCACATTTTTTAAAAATGTAACTTATTTGGTGCCATTCTTATAATGAACTGAACAAACAGATAGATAAAATTCTGTACCTCAAATGAATAGCAAAGAAGAAGTCAAAGTACTTACTCCCAATTTCTCTTGAGTTCCAGGTGATATAGAAATTTTATTTTACCAAGAATAAACCTATTGTTATTTAGTATTTCTTTTGATTTCTTTTTTGTTTTTTGAGACAGGTTCTCACCATGTAAGTCAAGCAGGCTTTACACACATGGCAATCCTCCTGCCTCAGCCTCCAATGGCTGAGATTATGGGCATGCACCACCATACCTGACTAGTATTTCTTTCTATAGAGTGATGATAGTTAGTTATAGCAAAGATCTTTAGCTATTTACTTATAGCAAAGATAGTTACTTTAACAAAGATATTTTACTTATAGCAAAGATATTTAAAATGTTACCTGTAACTTTCTCCTACAAGTTAATTTACAATGTGATAGATTTAAAACTAATCATTCTATTCAATAATTAAGAAAGCAGATAGTTTACCTGTAAATAATCCAGAAAATCCATTTTTAGCAACAATGTTCTTCATTATAACCCAGGTTGACATATGCAAAGGCCCAGAAACTAAAAACAGAAAAAAGCTATTAAAAAATCACAATTTAATAATTACTAACACAGGAATACATATATAATGGCATTCACTGATTTGGGACTATATGATTTCATTAAAAACAGATCTGCTTACTTAAAGAGATATATCAATCTTATTTTTAATAGACACATTTTAAAAACAGATTTCAAGTAAAAGTTGTACGCAACTGGATGGTTTCAAGGGCACAGTACACAGAAAGCTTTTTTGGAATTCAGGTTTGCATCATAAAACACGCTGGTATTATTTTTTATACCTTTTGTTATGTATTAAAAATCTTTCACATGATTTCTTAAAACAATTATAAAAATTTTTATAAGGTATCTAAATGCCAAAGTGTTAGATAATGATTTTTATTTTGATTTTATATTGCCTACAGTTTAAAAAAACCCTTGTAGTCCTAAAAAAGGTTCTGAAGAATTAAGTAATTCTTTGTAGTAGTGTTCTGTTTTATTACAAGTAAATTAGAACAATAATGTCTCCTTCAGAGGGAAGATTTTAGATAACAGATCTTAATGTCTCAGTTATCAGCAACCACTCAACTACTAGGGGTGGGTAGGGGGAACATTTTTAAACTTAGCCAAAGTAGAAGTCACCAAGTTCAAACACAACGTTGATGAATAACTGTACACAAAGTTTACTTACCTTCATTTTACACATTGATTGTAAGCAGCTAATGCAGCCTACAGAGCACTCACTACATGCCGTAAGTTGAAAAGAACAAGTCTAAGAAGTAGGTATACCATCATGTAAACAGTACAATTTCTGATAGGCTAGTAAGTTCAAAGTCTTGGTTTGAGATCAGCTAGATGGTAAGCAAACAATCTTACCCTCTGAAACTTTTGAGAACTGCTTTACAAAGTGCTACAATATTTATTTACATCAATGGCTATCCTTATTTTTATCAGTGACTAAGCCTGATAGAATATAGGAAAGACTACCAGAAATTACGCTCCAAAATGGCCTTTTTAGGTCAAACTAACAGATTAAACGATTGAACAGATTTAAAAAATCCACTCAACAATATCATAAACTACACCAAAAACTATATCCTTACTATATTAAATAGGATGAAATAAATTCAGATGAGAAGGAAAAGTAAAACTTTTTTAGAGGATTGTTGTACTAGGCGTTGAACCTAGAACTGCTCTACCACCAAACTACATCCTCAGCCCAGTTTTTAATTTTTAATTTGAGAGAGGGTTTTTTTAAGTTGCCCAGGATGGCCTTGAACTTGGAATCTTCATGTTTCAGCCTCCTTTGGTACACAGATTATAAGCATATGACACCATGTATGGCAAACAAAATAATTCTGAACTGTCAAAGAAGGACAGATGGGCTTCGGCAGTCAGAATATTCATACCTAAAGCAGGGAAAAAGCCTGATACAACAAAACTTTGATTACCTCCCAAGTTTTCAACAGTACCTAATATTATAAGAAACTTAAGTTCTTGGTAGGTCAAACACGAGGTAGTCACCAGTGTCAATCAGACTCATCTGTAGAGCCTATAGTCAAATGTTTCTTTTATTATAATACTAATTCTATATTTTATGCAAAATATTACTTTCCATAGTGTGATGGTTTATTTGCATTACAATAGGCTATCATAAGGTTTACATAACACAATGTTGAATGGATAATTTCCCATATGTTTACTATACTTTCTAAAGAGAATAAATGACAGAAGAGAACTTGTAGAAGCAATTAAGAGTGACGCTTTTGTTCTAAGAGAAATTATAGGCTATACAGAAATAAAAAAGAGATGATACAATAGGGAAAACACATACTAAAAAGAAACAAAGCTAAAACCAACCAAACAAAATAAATATTTACACACATTCACGCACAAAAAGAGAAGAAAAGATTGCCAGTCATTTCCTATCCTTTACACTAACTTATCTACATTTACTTACTGGTTTATTATTTAAAAGAAAAATAGTTCTAGAAAAATAACAACACATTTGAAGGAGACTGAAGACACAGTATATATCACCAAACAACTTAGCTTTCACATGACAAAGACACATTCTTTATAAAAGGTAAGAGACTTTAACTCATGGCAGTCAAGAAATAGACTAAATTTTCTTAAATTGGGATTATAGTATTTTTTCTGAGTATTCCACTTTAACAGTATATATTTGCTTATTAAAGAAAAATAAGGTATAATGAAAACAATCTTATTTTCCTTATTTTTAGATATATCTAAGAATATCTAGAAAGAAAAACAAAATGGCATCTTAAAAAGGTCTAAACTTACTTTTATGACTTTCGTATGTCCAAAGTTGTGTCTGCTTTTGTGTTTTTACCACATCAAATGGCAAAGTTACAACAGCTGCAAACTATCAGAAAGTAAAATTAATTTAAATCTACCTTTTAATTTTTCCCCAAATAGTCTTAACTCCCCTATTAGCATATTATTTAACAAGGATAACAAAAATCACAGCTAAACTGAAGTTTAAAACAAAACCAAATGAAAGTTTTTATTAAAATAGTCCTTAAAAACTCAGAGGTATATAGTCACGAAAACCTTCTCTTATCTTTCGGAGACCACACAGCTACTATTAGCAGGGCCAAAATTCCACTCAGTCCTCTGACTGAAAGACCAATGTTCTGGTTTCCAGTGTTACTGGATGTTCCATTACTCCTTTATTTCATACACATGAATGTATGCCACATATTTTTTAAATTTTTTTTTAATTTTTATCGGTACTGGGGATCGAACTCATGACTGCCTGCTTGCAAGGCAGGTGCTTATGCCGCTGAGCTAAATCCCCAGCCCCTATGCCACATATTTTAACTCAGAAATTCTCCAATATCTAGGTAGCATCTAAAAATCTCCAGTGGCTTTAATTAAATTAGATTTGAAATATTAAATTTCAGTAAATGAAGAAAATGAACTTGATTCATATACCTCTTCTTAATGAAAATTAATGTATCAACTATAGTTATACTGGTTCAAAAGTCACATTTAAAGAAAACTTTTGTCAAAGTTATTCAATTTAATAATTATTTCTTTAATGCCTTACGTAAGGGAGTTTGTTTTTATGGTACTCAGAACTGAACCCAGGAACTTCACACTGAGCTGCCATCCCAGCCCTACTTAAATTTTAAAAAAATAACAATAATAAAGTCTTTGAGGCAAAGTCTCACTAAATTATCCAGACTGTGCTTGAACTTTCAATTCTGTTGCCTTTATCTCTCAGAATGCTGGGGTTACAAGTATGTGCCACCATGTCCAGAATTTCTTTGTTTCTAACAAGAAATAATTAAATTATTTTGGGGATTTAGCTCAGTGGCATAAGTGTCTGCCTTGCGAGCGCATGGTCATGAGTTTGATCCCCAGTACCGGAAAAAAAAAAAAAAAAAAAAAAAAGAGAGAGAGAGAGAGAGAGAGAAAGAAATAATTGAATTATTTTAAGAATGATCTCACAACTAGGTGTGGTGGTGCACATCTGTAATCCTAGCAGTCAGGAGGCTAAGGCAAGAGGATCACTGCAAGTCTGAGGCTAGTCTAGGCTACAAACTGAGCTCAAGGCTAGCCTGAACCACACAGTGAGATCCTATCTCAATAAACAAAGAAGAATGTTCTCACAATATCTGACACCAACAGCCATTTAAAATCTGGTATCTGCTTTTTGTTTCTCAATTCACATTTGAGCCAACATGATTATAAAATGCCCCCTTAAAATCACTTGTATTTTAGGTCAGGGAGGGGGATTTAGCTCAGTGGCTCAAGCGCTTGTCTGGTAAGGGCAAGGTCATGAGTTTGATCCCTGGAACCAAATAAAATAAAATATTTTAGGCCAGAGATATAGCTCAGTGGCACAGCGCCTCCCTAGCAAGCGTGAGATTGTGAGCTTGATTTCTGGTATCAAAAAAAAATCAATTATGTTTTACTTTTACTTCAATAATCAAGTGACTGCAATTTTGAAGACAGTTTCAAAGCTTACAGGTGAGATAAAATCAGTTTATCCTCCACAAGCTACTGAGTAGTGGCAACATGTTACATATACCTTTTGGACAGTTTTTAAATGATATCTTTTATGCTGCTGTTTTTTAAAAGAAAGCCAAGACCCTACCATAAGCATACGTTTTTTCCATTGCAGTGACAAATCTTTACTTCATAACTATCAAAAGCCAGCATTATTTCTTAACTCATTAAAAAAACACGTTTTCATGTTAAGCAGAAATGGTAAAATAGAGAACCTGCCTTATTTTACTGTAAAGCTAGTATGACATCTTTTTTTCTTTTCCTTTTTTTTTTTTTTTTTTTGGCAAGGTCTTCCTACGTAGTTCATACTGGCTTTGAACTCACTATGTAGCCTAAGCTGCCTGTGAACTCACGGAGACCCTTCTGCCTCAGCCTTCCAAATGCTAGGATTATAGGTGTATACCACCATGTCCAGCTGGCATGACATTTTAAAATCATTACTCAACAATACTAATTTCTTTAATGATTCAATAGGCTTATAATCCATAAGGTTTAATTTAAAAATCTTAGACCTGACAGCATTCACATCTCAGTTCTGAAATGAACGGCAGTGACTTCCATAGCTTAGGTTTTACAATATATTATTCCAATAGTTTTTTGTAGATCTTTATCACCTCACACCTATATTTCTATGGTTCCAAAATATCAGTATCACATTGTACCTTCTCACTAGCTATTCTTGCAAGTATATGTGTATAAGAAAACTCTACGGCCAAAGACACAGTAATATGAATCTGCTTAGAAAAACTCTATGGTGCATCACTTTCCCTTACACGGGCAGACTGAAAAGGTAAGCTTTCTACTACTCAGAAAGGGTCATTTGTGATTCTTCCCTTCTACATGCAATTTTTCTTACAATTATCTTAAGAAGTGAAATGTTTCCAGTTAACAGCAATTAATAGAGAATGGAATTGCTTTATTTAATTCAATGATACACATGGAATAATACTCCATGAACTATTACCTAATCACATCTACTGGCATTTATTGAACTAATGTATTACAAAAGCTCTATAAATAATAAAATACTTTCATGTGTAAAATGATTCTAACTATAGTGATTTAACAAACCAAGTTTCTTAGAAAAATATAATATGTAAAATACATAAAGACAATGTAAAAACATCAACACAAAGTACATTTTAAACTATTTTAATGGCAATAATTTATCTCCTTTGAAAGCATTACTGCTCAAAAAAAGTATTATAGCTCAAAAAGTACTCTCTGAATATATGTGAAATGCAATATAATATTTGCTTGTTGTTATGCAACAGTTACCATTTTCCTAGAATAGTAACAACAAAAGAATAAACTTACAGAACCAGACAATGCCCCTGAAGTAAAGTTGATCATAAAAGATGGTTCATATATACCAGATTTCTCACAGAACCACTTCTTTAAAATTTCATAGTTATACCAGTATATTGCTATAAAAACAGAGAATGAAATAAGCAAGCACATATCACAAAATAAAATGTGGCATTTAAAGAAAAGATAAACATAAACCAAAGGAAAAGAGAAATTCTAACCTTGACATATGTTGCTTTCTGCTTAGGCTAGCAGTCTTATAAACACAAATGTGCATCGCTACAATACAACTATGATTCCAAAACCTGACAGGGACATGTAAGAGAAAGAAAAAGTAAAGGCCTGTCTATAGATGAATATAGAGAAGTCTTTAAAAAAAATCAACAAACTGAAGCAAAAAGTGAAGATAGTTAATATAATAAAATGTAATGCACCACATTAACAAAACCAAGAATAACCTAATGATAAAAAGAAAGTGTCTGATAAAGTTCAATACTTTTACTTCAGGCAAAGAAATTTCTTGAAAATCTAGAGATAAAAAGGAAACTGCTTATTTTGATAAAGCATATGCATCAGAACCCTTAGCAAGAATAATTACTAACGTTGAAATGGCAGAACCACTCCTTTTACAGGGTGGAGAATGATGGGATGCTCACTGTTACTCCTATCATTCAAAACAATACCAGGCAGGAAGAAAGAAAAGCTTTGATGATTAAAAATTTCTAAAAAGGCATCACTTACCATCGCCTATTATTTACACAGAAACTCCAAGATAAAATCAGTTGCCACCACATCTACAGTAAAGACTTATAAAACAGAAAATCAGGGCATGGAGCTCAGGGTATAAGCATGCTCAAGGGTCTGCTTTCAACTGCCAGCCCCACAAAAATGAATGAATCTGCCAAAGTTGGAGGATGGGGAGCACCTTTAATAAATCTCAAAGGAAATGAATTTAATCTTTTTGAAGAAAAATTGAATCTCTATAAGAACACTTCAAATATGATTTATTAACATAAACAGACATGTCATTCCTAGAGAAGAAGAAAAAGAAAAAAAGATAATGTCAAGATTTTTAATAAAACACTAGGAATTTAGGCAGTGGTATTGGCATAGATTTAGGCAAATTAACCAATGAAACAAATCCGTGTATACATGAAAATCTGATACAACAGTGATGATAAGCAGATCCTTGCAGCAACTATGGGTATTCAATAGATGGCACTGAGACAAGGCCCAGTGTATCCCGGTGGAGGTGGGAAACGACCTGATACTTTAGTCCATATCCTCAAAGCAACTAGAAATAACTCATTAGCTAATGAGACTGCATGCAACTTCATAATCATTAAATAAATGTAAATTAAAGTGAGATATTATTTTAAATTACCAGAAGAAATCTAACAATAAAACACCTGGTAAAGGTATAAAGTGGCAGAACATTTCACACAGTGTTGCCAGAGTCATACAATCACCTTATAAAAGACTGCACTACCTAGTGAAATTAGAAATGTATACAGTATATGTTTAGATGATTCAACAAGTAAAATACTGGAAAACTGTTGCACAGGTTAACAAAGACACTGTTTAAAAAATGTTTATAGGAGCATAATTACTCATACATAAACAAGATTAAAAATGAATCAAACACAGAATGAATTCCAGGAAAAATTGTGAGTGAAAAAAAAATTTTAAAGCTCAAAAACAGGTAAAACTAAATAATACATGGAGTAACAATATTTTAAAAATCAGACACAGGACCAAAAATCTCAGTACGTTGGATACTATTGGGAATGTAAACATAAAAGAGCATTTACGTGGCTTCCTGATATAAAAAGCTGTTACATTCAAGCTTATAGACTGAAGAGGTGAGTTGAAAGGTGTTCATTTTATTATACTTCATCATTTAAATTCTATGCCACTGTTTACATATTAAATATATATTTGGAATCTATGATTAATTACACACTTATGTTTTTTAACAACATAACTGAACACAAACACTTACTTGATTTACAATAGTCTCACAGGATACTCACTCAATGAGGAAATGTTTATTTTTAAAAACTGAAAAAGTAACAGTCCAATCAAAGGTGGTCTTAATTGGATTTTATATATTCTGAGTTACAGGAGTTTATTTACCTTACTATGCATTTAAAATATGCATGCCCATCAAATTAAATTTCAGGGGCTGGGGATTTAGCTCAGCGGCGTAAGCTCCTGCCTTGCAAGCAGGCAGTTGTGAGTTCGATCCCTGGTACCAATAAAAAGGAAAAGGACAAAAAAAAAAAAAAAAATTTTAAAAGGCAGTTAAATGTAAGGAAAAAGAAAATCAGGCCTGAATTAGAAAACTATTCATTCAATAAAGGCTATAAAGATCAGAATGCCCAAATGATGAACTAAGAATTCATGATTGCTACAGAAGATAAATTACCTTTAACTATAAAAGGTTTAAAACCTAACAAATGTAGTGTAAGAAGACAAAGCTACATAGAATTTAGAAGATAATGACAAAACCTACCTGAGAAAGGTACGTCTCTAAGAATAGTAGGAGCCCAGCCCTTCCAAAGGGAAATCCAGCCATCTTCTGATACTTTCTTGCTGACAAACTGATGTAATTCCTTGTAAGAAAACTTCTTAGACTGCATCTTGGTTCTAATCAATTCTAATGGACTTATCACAGTTACTGCACCAACTAATACAAACAATCAGATGAAAGAAAATTTTAAAAAGCCATATACTATTCAAACACACATGTAGATTCTATATTTTATATTTTACTTTTTATTCTGAAATATCTGCAAACTTTAAAATCAAGTATCTGATATATAAACATATTGGTACAAATTTTTTCTCTTGAAAAATATATTTGTTAAGTCTGTTTTTATATACCTTTTTTTGATTTCAAGTCTTTCAAAAGGTGCCCCAGAAATGTTATAGCCAACTAGAACCATTACAAAAACTCAAATCTAGTTAGTACTCCCAAAATATGCAGGAGTCCTGTTTAATAGACAAATATGCTCTTGTGAGTAGAGGCAAATTTTCTTCTAAGCACTTAATCCCAAAATTTACACTGAAAGTGATTCAACATTTTGGCCTGAATCATGTATGGGCCTAGATGACAGCTTGGAAGTTTAAGTAAATAAGAATCAATTCTGATGTTACTCTGAACACCAGGCATGGTAGCACATTCCTGTAATCCCACCACTCTGGAAGGCTAAGGCAGGAAGATCATAAGCTTAAGATCAACCTGTGTAAAATAGCTACTAAGCAAGACTTTGTCTTAAAAGTAAGAAGAAAAAAGTTGGGGTTGTAGCTCAGTGTAAAGGTCCTGGATCCAATCCCCCTGTGCTGCAAAAGAAATAAAATAAAAACTGTCCACAGTAGACATGGTGAACATCCCTATAACCCAACACTGAGCAGTGTGAGGTACAGGGACCTCAAGTCTGAAGCTGGCCTGTCAACACAGTGAAGTTAAGGCCATTCTAGACTATATATGATGATCTTGTTTTAAAAAATAAAAACTATCCAAGATTCAACCAAAATAGGTCAATGTCCTCTTACGCTAATGGCAATCAACATGCCAAGTCACTTTCAGAGTAAAGTTGTTAACAAATTAATACAAATTACAATGCAAAATATGCCTCAACTGATATTATATACATTACACAAATTGTTTGAATGTCAAAATTTAAACAGATGTCCTAAGTAGAAATCAAAATGAATTTATTACTTACACCTGGCCATAATTCCAGCAATAATTGGTATTCTAGTTTCATTTTCTCCTAATTTGGATCTCAGAACAGCACTTAATTGATCATAGCAGGTAAAATAAATAACAGTGGCAGGAACTGCCATCACTCTGTAGAGACATACAGAAAGATTGCTCAGAATTATCCAAAGGTGTCAAACATACTAGTAAATTAAATTCAACATCATGATATATGCTAAAAAATCTTTAATTTTGTATTAAAGACTAAAAACCACAACAAATCAGCTCATGAGATAAATTATTCTTTTATTTAAATGAAAGTATTAGTGCTTAAGACAGTAATAAAAGATACAAAAAAGCATCTGCCCTCAAAAAGTTTACAAATTCTAGTTATGAAGATAAATTACAATACAAAGCATCAAATAAATGTGATGTTAGTTATAATATATCATATTAAGTGCCATATAGCCAAACTCATGAATTGTACAATCTTGGGTATCTCTCTCTCTCTCTCTCTCTCTCACACACACACACACACACACACACACACACACACACACACACACGGACATTTCTCCATCTCCTTCCCTTTTCAATCTGTTTTTAGTCTTCCACATCTGCTCTCCCAGTTAATATTTTCTATGACATGAGAACTATTGCAATAAGTTAATAAGCAACTAACTGTCAGATATTTTTGAACTACATATCATATCACACTTGTTTATCACTGGAAATAAAGTACAATTAACATTGGCAGACTTGTACACACTAGCTTTGAGGGGATTCTAATAGCATATTCTCTTAGATGAAAATACCAAAAAGAGGTTAAGTAATTCATATATAAAGCTGCAGACACTGTCAGGTCAGCAATATCAATGTGACAAGAAGCCAATTTTTGTTTCTGGTCTAACTACATTGTATTCGCAGACCACAGTTTGGAATGCTTAATATCCTATAGTGAAGGCCAATGCAGAGTATTCAAGAGTAGAAGTGAATGTAGTGAAAGATAAATTATAGTCTTGGATATCCACTAACTTAAAAATCTTAGGCATTGAAGTATATGCCTCAAAACTGATAAATTGTCTCCATACACAAGATAAAACAAGTGCTTAGAAATAAAAAAGGCAGCAGAGTCAAGGTATTATTTGGAATTTTGACACTCTAATCATATTAATTCACATAATTGTTAGTTAATAAAATTATCTGGAGAAGTAAATGTATATACATTACAATATACTTAGTGTTTTAGTAAAATAAAAGTCAAATGAACACCAAGTTCTTTATTTCTTAACATGAAAAACTATTTTGGTTTTTTTTTGTTTGTTTGTTTTATCTTTTTGAGACAAGAGTCTTGCTACACAATTCAGGCAGGTCTTAAGCTCACTTTGTAGCCCAGATTGGTCTCAAACTTGCAACAGTCCTCCTGCCTCAGCCTTCTGAGTGCTGGGATTACAGGTGTGCACCACCATGTCCAGCAAAAATATTACTTTTATTATGTAACAAAGACTTACTACAGTAGTCCTGTTACTTAAATCTTCCGTGATATCTTCAGAAGGGCCTGTCTGGATGCTGAGCGTTGGCCTGGAATTTAGCCTATGGAATTTCCCCCATGATAATGCTTTCGGCAGGTCTGAAGCACTAACCCAAGTGTCTAGGTTGCTTTGTGCATGCATGATGATTTATGAGAAGCATCTACTTTCCTTTCTGGGGTCTGAAGTTTTGCTAATTACTGCTGGTTACGTTAAGTTGGGAATGAGTTTCCCATGGCAGAAAACACTTTGCTCCTTCAGTTAGTTGCAGAAAAAATAAGCACATCCCTTTGTGATGCCCCCAAAGGACTTTAGAAGACTTAGTAACTCCTGAAGTGTGTTTTTCCCTTACCAATTCTGCTTTGTATCATTTAGTTGTAGTAAACCATACTCATGACTATAACCCTCCTTAGGTCTGAGAGTCCTCATATAACATCAAATATGTGGGTAGCTGTGAGACACACAAAGCAATGCTTCAGAACATCAAAGAGTTCTAACATTTAAAATGCATGACTTTCTCTAATTGTGCTCACTGCAATACCAAACAACCATCATTTAGCAGAAAAAAAAAATTTAAATTTTAACTTACAGAGTAGGAGGAAGGCCACTCCACAGGGACTTAATGCCCTCATTTCGAATGATTTTTAAAAAGGCATCCTAAAATTATTATAGAAAAAAGTAGTCAAAATACAGCCCTAAACCTGATATATATAAAAATTTAGAGTGATAAATGATAATTTGACTCTTTCAATCATTTATTTCTAAAATGAGTTTCTTGGATTTATGTATGTCTGTTCTTTCAAAAACATGAGAATTTTAACATGAGTTAAATGAAGCATTTCTGAACAACACAGAATAAAGTATATATTACTTAATTCTGTATTACTCTATGTAGAGCTTAGAAACCAACCTTAGAAAGATCATTGTAAAGAAGTAAGTAGACTAGTAACAGAGAACTGAATAAATAAACTCTCCTGACCAAGTCTAAATTCTAAAAAAGATATCAGCAGAGCCCACTGTGACATTCTGGAGAGGATTCAAAAGCAGGCAGAAGCTTAATGGACAAACTCTTACAAATAAATAATAATATACTTAATATTGACCATGGGTTAGAATAAACATTCCTCCAAAAAAATAAAATCAATAAGCACATGAAAAAAAAAAGTTCAACACATTGATCATTTATGGAACTGCAAAACAAAGCCATAATAAGTTATCACTTCATACCCAATAGGTAGACCAACAGGCAAAATAGATGCAGGGGTACATGTATATAATCCCAGCCCTCTGGGAGAATAAAGCAGAAGGAAGCTGAGTTCAAGGACAATTTGGTGAACACAGCAAGATGCCATCTTAAAAAGAAAGGGGAGCGAATAGACAGAAGATGACAGGGAATAATAAGGACTACTGAGAATATGGAGACAATGAAACTCTCATGTATTAATGGTGGGAATGTAAAATGGTGTTTAGTCACTTTAGAAAACAGTCTGGCAGTTTCTAAAATGGTTAAATATAGAGATGCCATTATGATCCAACAATTTCAATTCCAGATATATATTCAAGAGAAATTAAAACACATGTTTACACAAAATTTGAACGTTCATTTTTTTTCTTTTTTTTTTTTGTATCAGGAATCAAACTCAAGACCTCACACTTGCCAGGTAGACGCTGGGCTGCTGACCTACATCCCCAGCCCTAAATTAGAATGTTCTTAGCAACACTATCTATTCCAAAAAGTAGAAATAACTCAAATGTCCATCAACTAATGAATGGGTAACTAAAATATGGTACACTCACAAAATGGTACATTGCTACAGAAATAAAATACTGACCCAGGCCACAACACTGATGAGTCTTGTAGCAAGAAGCCAGTCACAAACAGCTGCATGCTTTCCCAGGAAAGCAGCAGCCTAGTAAGACAGAAAGCTTGGAAAACAAAATCCTATTCCAGCCACATGTGACAAAAGAAGGCGGCATCACCCAGATCCACACCAGTAAAGACCATGTAGGCAGCCTGGACTTCTTACCTCTTCTGTAACCCTGCAGTAAAGAGGGCAACGCCTCCCTCTGGGTGGCCTCACTACAGTCAATAGGGAGCTGAAATTTTTATCTCCCCTTGCCCGTGAGAGGAGGCAGAGTAGAGAGTCAGGACTTTGGTTATCACTTACAGTAATGAGGTCACCCCACCACAAATCACAAGGTCAAACTCCTACCATGTGTGACAATAAACTGCCAGTGGAGGCTATGAGGAACCAGTCCTCTAACTCTATCCAGCAGTAACACAATGGAGCCCTCCCCTGTTCCCAAGGGTAGGCAGTATCAGATGGGCAGTTTAATAAAATGCTTAAATGACATTTAGAGTTTAATCACAGAACACTCAAAATGTCCAGGTTTTTAAAAATTGATTGAGTTTACTGGTACATTTTAGATATATATAATGACCATATTCATAAGAAATTTACACCCGCACATGATATATCTTTTTTTCACATTCCTCTCCCTTCAACCCTTCATTCTCCTCATTTACAGAAGTTGTTTCCATTTCCTCTTTTCTCATTTTTGTTGTTCTTTTTCCTTCCTTCTTTCCCATTTCCTTTCCATTTGAATATTTTCTTCCTATTTCACAGTATCTATTACACATTTTTGTCCTGATTTATACTTTTGGTTTCTCATGTCAGAGAAATAATACAGTATTTCCACAAATGTGTCCAACTTACTTAAGAATATGGTCTCAAGGTGCATTCATCTATCTAGAAATGTCTCAAGATTACCTTTCTTTATGACTGAGTAGTACTCTACTGTATTAAAAAAAACTCATTTTTATTCACTGCTAGGTTGATGGACATTTGGGCTATTTCCAACATTTAGCTGTATAATCCATACTGCTATAAATGTGAGTGTGCATATATCATTATAGTATCATGCTTTCATTTCTTGTGGGAAGATACCAAGAAGGGAAATGGCTGGGCCAAATGGAAACTCTGGTTTCAGTTGTTTTGCGGAATATCCACACTGATTTCGATAGTGGCCGCACCACTCTACAATAGCATGGCATAGGCCAAAAAACACACCCAAGGATCAAGGAACAGATCAGAAGTTGCAGAAACAACTGCAAACATACTCAGTTTCCTTATCTTTGACAACAGGGCCAAATACCCTCACTGGGAGAAAAATAATAACTTCTTTAACAAATGGTGCTGGAAAAACTGGCTTTCTACATGCTAAAGACTAAAACTAGACCCATGTCTCTCACCATGCACTAAACTAAAGTTAAAATGGATCAAAGATCTAAATATTGAAGCAGAAACACTAACTCTTCTGGAACAGAGAACACATAAAACTCTTCAAGACATAGTTGTATGTCTTGATTTCATAAACACATCCCCAGTTGCACAGGAAACACTACAAAGGATCAACAACTGGGATCTCATCTTATTAAAAAGTTTTTGCACATCAAAAGAAATCACCAACAGAGTGAAGAGACAATCCACATAGTGGGAAAAAAGTTTTGCCAGCTGTCCCTCAGAGGATTAATACCTAGGATATATAAGAAACTAAAAAAAAAAAAAAAATCAACCCCCCAAATTTAAAGACCTAATCCAAAAATGGGCATCTTGTGCTCAATTCAGCAGCACATATACAAAAATGGGTATCTGAGATAAACACATATGTCTCAGAGAAGAAGTACAAACAGCAAATAAATACATGAAAAATTATGCAACATCATTGGTCATTTCAGAGATGCAAATTAAAACAATACTGAGATTCCACCTCACTAGAAAGAATGGCAATTATCAAGAAATCAACCAATAACAAATGCTGGTGGGATTGTGGTGAAAAATGTCCAGGATTTTAATTTTTAAAACCATCATTTTAAAAAAACAAAAAGATGTTAAACTAAAAAAAGAGGAGTGATAAATAAATACCTAAACTCAGGGAGAGGTTAGAGAGAGGTTAGGATTATCGGATGACTATTTCAAATGGTCAACATAAAAAGTATTTAATAATCACTTATAAGTATGCTTAAAACAAATGAAAATGCAGTATGTCTCAGCAAACAAATTCAAAAAAGTAAAATGCTCATCTGCAAAAACACCATACATATCAAAATGAAAACAGCGGAAGGAAAAATAACAGAAGTAGGAAATAGAGTTAACAGGAAATAAATGGCAGATAAAAGCTTTAACATCTATAACTGCATTAATATATTTAGTCTTGAAAAGATGAAAGCTGATAAGAATAAAATTAAAGCACAACTCAATTACACACTGTCTATAAAAATTTTACTTCAATTATAATGATACAGAAAGGTTAAAAATGCATTTGAAGAGTCAGCCCAGTATGGATGTCATTTCTTCTTAAATTAATGTCATGTATGTATATGACATTAATTTATATGTATATGTATTAATTTACATGTATATGTATATGTATATGTATATGTATATATATATGTATATGTATATGTATATGACAAGACTATACTAAAATTTATGGAAAGGCAAAAGAACTTTACAATGACTGAAACAACTTTGAAAAAGAATGACATATACAGATACAGTGGAAGGGCTAGAATGTGACTTACTGCAATGGTACTTGTTTAATACGCATGAGGCCCTGGGTTCATTCCCTAGCACCACAAAAAAACATGTAAGAATAAAGTGAGAGCAATCAGCTTATCTAATTTTAAAGTATCATACATTTATGGAATTACAGACTGTGTGGTTTGGATAGATAAAAGGAACAAAACAGAGACCAAGAAATACATAAACTCAATCGGTCAACTGATTCTTGATATAGGTTAAAAAAAATGGAGGAAAGGTAACCTTTTCAACAAACGCAACTGAACAAGCATGTGCAGTCACAAGAAGAAATAAATCTCAACCTCTCTCATACTTTATATAGAAATGTTAAGTGGATCAAGGTCTTAAATGCAACACAAAGCTATAAAACTATCAAGGGAAACCATAGCAGATAATCTCAGAGTCTAAAGATAAGTAGAGTGTTCTTAGAATAGGCACTAAAAACATGATCTGTAAAAGGAAAAACTCCTGCTGAATTTCATCAAAATTTAACTTCTACTCCTAGAAAGACCAAGAAAATACAAATTAGAAAATGAGAAAAAAAATCTGTATGTCACATACTCAACAATGGATTAATAGCTAATATAATTTTTAAATGCTAACAATTTACCTAGAAAATGAGGGAGGCAAAAAACCGTGAAGAGCCACTTCTGGGAAATGGATACAATGGCAAATAAGCATATGAATTATCCAACATAATTAGCCATCAGAGAAATGCAAATTAAAACTACAATAAAATATTAGTATATGTATCAGTCAGCTTTCCAGTTGCTGAAACACAATATTTGACACTTAAAGGAGAGCATTAATTTGACTCACAGTTTCAGGGGACCAAGTCCATAGTCACTTGACTCTAAGGCAAAAATATCATGGCACAAGGGCATGACATCTCTATGACTCACCTGGACACACCAAGAAATGTGCCTTACTAATTCCCAGACAGCAACCAACCAATCAAGTTGAATGCTTAACCATCACATTATGTGTCTTAGTTACTTTTTACTCATTGCTGAGACAAAATTTGGGAAAGGAAAGGTTTATTTTTTATGGTTTTTGGAGGTTTCAGTCCATACTCAGTTGGCCCCAAGCAGGGTGGCATGGCTGGGCCACAGTTCATGGTGGCTGCAAACAGCCAGGCAGAAACCAGCAAAAGAGGGAGACACACTTTCTTCCTGCCATTACATTACATCCTGACTCCACCCCTAGGCCAGTATAGCACTCACACCCCCAATCCAAGCGCTAGACAATGAACCAATCACAAATGCACAATACAAATGCATGAGGCCTGGGGGCCACCAACATAAGCCATGACACTATGCACCTAAAACTGCTAAATGTAACTACAGAAAATGCTAGTGAAAATGCTGGAAAACTAGATAACCTGTACACTGCTAATGGAAATAGAAAATGGTAGAGCCACTTTAGAAACAAGGTTGGCAGCTTCTTAAATTCTCAACATACAACTACCATGTGCAGTCAGAAAATACACATTTGTGCACATATCTCAAGGAATGAAGAATTACTTTCACACACATATGCACACGCACACACAAAACTATAAATAAATGGTTGCAGCAGCTTTATTCCTAACGGCTAAAAACTGGAAACAACCCTGAAAACAAACTTGTACATCCATACCATGGAATACTACTGAGCAACAAACAGGAACAAATGACTTTTTTTTTTTTTTTTTGGTCTTTTTCCTTTTTATCGGTACCGGGGATCGAACTCACGACTGCCTGCTTGCAAGGCAGGTGCTTATGCCGCTGAGCTAAATCCCCAGCCCCAGGAACAAATGACTTAAACATGCAACAACCTAGAATAATCTCCAGACAATATGCTAAGTGACAAATGCCAACCCATAAAGATTATGTATGTTAGGAGTCCACCTGTACAACAGTTTCAAAATGACAAAAAAACTTTCTTTTTTACCTTTTAAAAAGAGTATTAGTGGATGTTTGCAATACATGCAGTCCTCTTGGGGAGTAGGTATATATACATAATACAGTTTTTTTTTTTAAATCCTCTTCCTCTCCTCTAATTCTTCTATCCCAATTTTCATTCTTGCTGATGTTACTAATCTTAGTTCATGTTACAACATATAATGTTTACATTCATTGAGATTATTAAGTTCTTGTACATGGCTTATCTTTATTTATCTCCCCCACCCCCTGTTCCTTATCCCTCGCCCTTGCATCCCTCTACTTCACTATTGCAAGAGATATATCCACTTGTCCCTTCTACTGGTCCTTCATTATTCCCTTTGTTACTGCTTTACCTCACTCCAATGAGAGATACCATATGGTATTTAAGCTTGTGTCTGGTTCACTTCACTGAACATTATATTTCCCAGGTGCATCTATTTTCTTGAAAATGTCTCAAATTTGTCAAATGACAGTCTTACAAATTGAGAATACATAAGTAGTTGCTGGGCAAAGAAGTGAGTGAGAGTATAAAAAAACTGGTGTTGCTCTACAAAGGAAACAGGAAAAATCTTTATATTGACAGCACTATTCTTTATTTTCATTGTATCAGTGTCAGTATCCAAGTTGTGACCTTTATTAGTTTTTAAAGATTTTATTACCACTACAGAAACTGGAGAGCACATCAGACTTGTCTGTACATTTTTCTTAAAATTACATGTGACATAAAGCTATCTTAAAATAAAGTTTAATTTCAAAAAAAAACTACCTCCTTTTTTCTACATAAAAACCTTGCACTGGATGAAATTTAACAAAGAGTTTAAAATGAAAGAAGTACTTCTCTTTTCCTACCTTAATACAATGGATTTCCTGGAATTAGCAACTCTTTCATATCTAAAATTACAAAATATACCATGACTATAAATAATATAATCTTACCAGTGTTCCCTGGAAGTTTCCTGGCTTCTTATACCATGCTTTGCTGCCTGTCTCTTCACAACAGACACACATATGATCCATAAGTCCATTACTATATACAAAACATTTTCCTAATAAAGACAATACCAACAGTCAATAATTATTTCTCATAATTGTTATTTTTACAGAAAAACTCAAAGTGCCAGGAAAAATATGAAAGAAAATTATGAAAGAAAAATAACTTTTAAAAAATTCTACTTCCTAGGATAAAGCATACATAATTAATTTGCTTAATGATATGAAACTGGATTGTATACCCATAGTTGTGAAAAATAATGGGAGTAAATTACAAAATTTTATGTTTTCAGAACCATAGTAAGAAAGTGTACACATCGAAATAAATTCTTTTTTATCTTTTACCTCCATTTTTATTTATCTTTAAAAATTTTTAATGGTACATGTTTGTAGTGCATAATGATTGCTTCTTAGTCTTTTGATTAAGATTAAGTAGCTCACAATGACTAATTCATTGTGGGGGAATTAGTACATGTACATGATATTTCTTAATTCTCTGTTTAATCTCTCCCCCCTTTCTCTCTCCTGCTCCCTGAATCTCTTAAATCCTTCTCCAAAACACATATATACATGTATTTTTAAACAATGTTTGCAGTATATGATGATCATGTTCTTCATAGGGACTTGGGACATGTACACAACACTTCATAATCTCTCCCCCATCCTTTTCATCTCTTGGTTCCCATCCCACAGAAAGTAATCCCTTTATGTTACCTTAGGGAACAAAGAGGTATACTAGAAGATCCTGTTTTGGAAAGAACACAGATGGATGTCTTTTCTATATACTTGTTCAGAAAAATATTTTGTAGTACACAAGAGAAATTCAGGCAAAAAAAAATCTATCATGAACAGTAAGTGTTCTTAATAGAAACATCATGCTGTCCTTTTCTCAGTTTCTGTGCTGCTCAACCAAGCTATCCGTCATCTCCTACCTAGCTTACTACAAGGCCCACTAATGCCAACTCTTACCTTTGTTGTTTCGTTTTTGAGACAAAGTGCCCCAATGTAAACCAGGCTTGCCTTTCAAGTGCTGGGATTAAATATGTATTACCATGCCCAGCCAACTTCTCTCTTACTGGACTCTTGCTGCCAAAACTGTCTACTCTGTCAAGTTTTATAATAAATAATTCTATGCATTTCTTTCTGCTTTTACGGCTTTAATATGTAAGGAATGACCTTAGGCTCTTTCCACACTCCATCTACCCTTTTATTCATCTGTAACACAGTAATCGTTTTCATTCCATCTTAGTGCTTTGCATTCAATATAGAAACGTTTTTATCTGAGCCTATTTTCTCCTCCTGTATAAATACACTGTTTAAATACACTTGAAATACCACTATCTTTATAAAAACTTTAGGGGCAGGAATATAGCTCAGTGGCACAGTGCCTGTCTGGCAAGTACAAGGTCATGAGTTTATGCCCTGGTACAAAAAGAGGTTAAAAAAAAAAAAAAAACTTTTTAAAAGACTATTTGTGGAACTATTACTTTTATCCATCTTACAAAAATATATAATTACTTGCTAGGTATGGTGGCACACACCTGTAACTGCAATACTTGGGAAGCTGAGCCAGTGAGTTTGAGACCAGCCTGGGATACACAATCAGTTCAAGGCCAGCCTGAACTATATAGCAAAATCCTATCTCAAAAATACCCCTCCATAAAAACACACACACACACACACACACACACACACACACACACACACAAACACAAACATACACGCATAAAATTACTTGTCTCAGATTCTACATAAAATATTGGATTTAACCAAATTGCTTGATGAAATACTAAATTTCTAAGCACTGGATTTAAGCAACAGATGAATAGTCATCATGAATGTTTCAGAATAGATATAATTGTTGAACCAAAGGGGAAGTTTGATTCCAAGGACCCTTACAAGTATAATTGTGCTCTTATCTGAGGGATGAAACTAATACATAATAATTCTCTGTTTTAATTAGTACAGCCATAAAGCATTACACATGCTATATAAAAATTTTTTTTGCCTATACCTAAATCACGTACACTTCAAGAATGGAAAAATATTTCTGCATGTGATATGTTTTAATAAATTAATTTAAAATATTTGAATAAAAGTGAATGTACTAACACTTAAAAATCTAAAATAATATTTTCAGGATACCTAGCACACATTACCTTTGGAGAATGCGCTGTTCTGGGCTTGGAGTCGAATTTTAACAACATCCAGGGGCGTCACTATGAAGATACATAAGTTTCAGTTAGCACGTGATATCTATAAACTGTGTGTTTTCATAAATCACAAAGTATGTTGATTCATACTTGCCCTGATGGTTCTACAACGGTATGGCTACTTATCTCAAAGTAGTCTTAAGTGGTAACATTTTGATTTTTTGCTCTTAAATTTTATTTACAAAGGATCAGTAAATAAAGGCTGCAATTACTTCTCTCATAATTACTGATTTGCCATTCATAATTTATCTACATCTGTGATTTGGATAGCCTTAAAATAGTGTTTATAAGAACGTATACTATTTAAGGTAAGGAAGTAAAGTTCCAAAAGTCTATTTAACTATTTGCAGTAATGCAATATTACAATCAATAATAAATAGTGTTAGTTTCCCTAATCTGTTAAATTTACCAGTATCAAATAATAGCTGTAGGAAACAAAAACTTGTGAAAGCTAGACATACATTATCTTTACCACCAGAATGTATCATTCCATTTGGGAAGAGCAAACAAAGACAAACTCTTTTAATTTGCATGCTGTATTTTACCTAAGTAAGAAAAAAGGTCAAAGGTGTTCCAAGAAAACTATTCTTCATCTGAGAATGAAAAAGTCACAATGCATGATATCTAAGACTTTTGCAACCCTATTCTCACTTGAAGAAACACCACAAAGCAATTACTTTGCTCTAATTATATTTATCTTATTTAAACAAATAATTCAATTTATAATCATTAAGAATACATTACTATCATCTATGTCATATGGATATAAGAAAATCACTGTAATAAATAGTAAATTGTGAGCCAGAGAAATGTAAGACTTGTACTATTCATGCAATTAAAGTAAAATATTATATTATGATTTTGTTGCTTTTTTATCCAAATTGTTTCATTCGATATGTTAGTATTTTATTACACCTCACTGCTATTTTGAAAGAGATACCAAAATTATGAAAGTCTAATGTTGATAGGAACTTCCAAGATCTCTTCTGCTAAGCCTTCAATTTTAGATGAAAAAAGTGAAGTTAAGAAATAAGTAAGTACTGTTCCCAAGTGTATTCATCCTTCGACTGGCAAAGACTAAAATTCAAGACTCCTGATTTTTTGTGTTAAGGGCTCTGCCCATATTACCACACTGATGAAGTAATAGATCAGTATTATCATAATGAATAATGCTAGTATTATTTCAAATGTAATAAAATTCAAATGAAATCATTGATTCATTCAAAGTTACATAATATACATCATTTTACCCATTAATGATGTCAATACAGCTCCAGTACAAGAGGCAAGCACTTGCTGAACAGGTGTCACTTTGACAGAGTGGGGGCCTTCTGACTCAGGATCCATGTTTTTAACTAACTGAAGAAAAGCCTGTTAAACAAAAGCAAGTTTTAAAAAAGTTGAATAACAACTGCCTTCAAAACTGAAAATACCAATCAGAATTTATACTGAAGCACCCACTATCAAAAATAAATTCCTAAGCTTCACAGGCAAAGGAACCATATAACTGTTGTTAACAAAACACATCATCTGATCTTCCAAAGTGGCAATGGCGGAAGTGGCACATGTGTAAGACTGCTAAGAAAGAGTTAAGGAAACAGACCGTGACCATGTGACAGAATGAAAGCAGCTGACCAACAAGTCAGAGCATCACTGAATATAGCAGTACATTAACTGCATATCAAAAGTTGTTCCACAGGTATAACATAAAAACACAGAACCTTAATAAGCAGTGTCTTATAAAAATTTGATGAGAAAAGCAACAAGTTATTTTTAAGTCATAAAATGCTGTAAGTATAAAATCTACTAATCTAAAAATAGTCACTGGCAAGAGTGTCAGGTTTCCTAATGTCTACATACATGTGTGCGCCTGTGTGTATATGATTACAGACTGTATCTAAATTACATTAACCAAACGTATACGCACATTTATGTACCTGTGCATATGCTACTTTTCTGAAAAACAAAAATTGTTTTTGTTTTAACATCATTCGTGCTTGTTAGTAGCCTGTTTTCAGAGTTATGAATATGCCAATATATGTCATTTTAGTGCTTGCACAGGGTTTAATAATACTTGTATTTAAGCATTATCACCTTTTACATACTTAAACTGTTGCCTGTTTTTCAACTGTACAACATTCTGGTATATCCTTATCCGTATCTTTCTGTATCTTTCTACAATTACTTTGAGAAATTAAGAATGACAAGCCAAACTACTTGAAAACTTGGTAGAAATTATCAAAATCTTTCCAGAAAAGTTAGACTAATTTATATTTCTTCCAGCAATATGAGTTCCTACTGACTCACATATTTACCAAGCTCTTCCCATTTCCTATTTCTGAGCCCTTAAAAGCAGATTGCATATATCACACTCCACTCTAAATACTTCATGATAGTTTCTAATATAGCCACAGTACAATTAGTAAATTCAGTTTTCTTAATCTTGACATAACATAGTTCATATTCTAGTTTTTTTCAGTAATGTCAATAATGTCCTTTACAAAAACAAACAGTAATTCTATTGTTTCTTTAGGTTATCACTATCTGCTTACCTAGTTTATATCTTTTCCTCAATTCCCTGCTCCAATGTTATTGCTTGTAACATCAGTAGCTGAAAACCTATAATGAAAAATGTAAAAGTAATTGCTTCACTTTTTCACATCATAAAGGCTTAAGTCCAAAGGAAAGTGTATACAAAAATTTTAAATCTAACTTTCACTTCACAGGAAATTCAGAGCATAGAGAATGGATGGCATAAAATAATAGACATTGTAGTATCTTGCCCTGCAGGCCTGTTGCCTTGGTTTTCTCAAATCAAAGTAAGGTTTTGGAGGAACAAACAGTAGTCTAGGAAAGTCAATTGCTCTAGATTAAAGAGATCTGAAGAGAATTACTGATCAAAAGCACCTTGGTTTAAGCACACAAATTTTTAAACTCCAGTTTGAAGATACCTAAATAAATCTGAATATGAGGTGGTATTAAATATCTTAATTTTTACAATATTTTAATATAAAAAATTTTTTTAACATTTTTAAAAAATTTTGTGGAGATAATGCATGGTTATGTATAAAGTACTTTTGAAAAGAATGATTCTGAAGTGTTAAAGATTGAAATGTTATGATAGTTGCAATTCATAACACTTAAGAAACACACTAAACAGTTATTTGGTATATATAGGTGACAAATACATTATATCATTATTCTTTTTTCCTATATTTACCAAAATTTACACAATAAAAATTTTCTTAATTACTGAAATTTATATGGATTCAAGTCTATGAATAATCTTCTAATATTCATCTATATGAGCTCAGTACTTTCAAGAAGGAAAATAACAGGGATATACTAGAATTTGGGTGTATTTCTCTGGAAATAAAAGCCCCAACATTGCTTTATGTAGATACCCATTTCAGGAAAGGTGCAACCTCAATCTGTTCATCTGAAACTAAAGTAAGAAAAAAACTGCTTTCTCAAAGTTATTTGAAATGTAAGGGAAACAAGCCAGAAATTCAGATGCAATCTTTAAAAATAATTAGTAGTCTTTGTTGTTATTATTATTATTTTTAGGGGGGGGATGTACCGGGGATCAAACTAACACCTCGTGCTTGCCAGGCAGGTGCATATGCTGCTGAACTAAATCCCCAATACTTTATTATTTTAATATATATTATTTTAGAGAAATAAATTGCCTTGTCTCCTAAAAATTGTAACATATATCTACTTATAATGAGATTTGAAACATGAGTCTCCTCCCTATCTAGAGTACTATGTAAAAAGGCAAAATATAAAAATAGAAAAGGAAATTACCATCTCAGTGTATTATTTAGAACCCTTTCTTTCTACCGTTTTAAACTCCCTACATTCCTGTCAACCTACCTTACCTTTCTTCTTTTCATTTTTTTATTCTTCCATATGCCAGGTATCATCCCCTATTGCGAGAATACAATCCAGTGGGAGAGACCACTTTAACAAATTTATTTCTTTCACTTTCCTGAATTGTTAAAAGCATCTCATAAAAAAAAAATACTACAAAAAAATTAACTTCCTCCCACAACTCCCATGAAAATTTATCTTTCTATAACTTTTCTGCTTCTATATTCTTAAATAAGTTAATGATTTGCTGTACATCAAGATACCCTGAAAGAATAAACAGCAAACATGAAGAATCCATGAGTTCTTCTCAGAGAAAGAATGAATGTTACCTAATTATAAAATCCACACAGGCAAAAGATCAATGGAGAAGCTTTAATAAAAGGATTAGGGTAAGGCAGAAGATAAGACTATCTACTTGTAGCATCAAAACTCTTAATGTTTCTCAATGGACAGTATGATGTTATTTTATTAGTCATGACCTATATTCCCTTGATCTACACTGATGCTAAGTATCTCTGCACATTTTCATTAGACATACACGTTTCCTCTTCTGCTATCTCTCCAAGTATTATATATCTTTTGCTTATATAATTTGTAACATGTAGAAATTGTATCTTATTCCAGTTGCCTTTTCTATTTTTTAAAAAAACTTTAGATAAAGCAATGTTCTGAATTTTTTTCTTTTTGTTGCTGAAGTCATAAAATATAAAATATCCTACAAAGAATTCTTAAGTATTTAAAAATATTTTTTTACTCTTCTGAAAATCTCTAGAACATCTTCATCTTCTGTGACTTAAAATTTTACATCCATTAAAAAATAACTTCTCATTTTCTTTTCCATCCAAGCCCTGGCAATCACTGTATAGGTTCTGCTTTTATGAGTTTAATTACATTAATTATGTCATAATTAGAATCATGCAGATTAGTACTTTTGGAACTGGCTTATTTCATTTAACAATGCACTCAAAATTTTTCAATGAGGTAGCAGATGAACAGTGTTTCCTACTTTTTAAAGCCTGAAAAACATTCTCTCTCTCTCTCTCTCTCTCTCTCTCTCTCTCTCTCTCTCTCTCTCTCACACACACACACACACACACACACACACACACACACACTTAGCTATCATTTAAGATGTCTCTATCTTTTGGCTATTAGAAATAATGCAATGCATGTGGAAGTATCAATATCTGATTCTGATTTCAGTTTTTTAAATATATGCTTACAAGTAGGATTCTGGCTTATACAGTACAATTTTTAATTTCTGGAGGTACCTTTGTACTGTTTTCCACAGCAGCTACACCATTTTATATTCCCACAATAAGGTCACAAATGTTCCAATTTTTCCACATCAGTCTTAGTCATTGTTATCCCTACAACAAAATATTTGTAACTTATGAAGAGAACATTTATTTTGGTTCACAGTTTCAGAAGCTTCAGACCATGATCAGTTCAGATTCAATGCTTTGTGCTTGTAGCAGCATCGTGGTGGGAGTACAAGACAAGGAAATCTGTGCACAGGACAGCCATTATGTAAAACAGAAAGAGGAAGAGGCAAGAATTTCAATGTTCCCTTCAAGGGCATATCCCTGAGTCCTAAATACCTTGCACTAGGTAAAGCCTTCACAGTCTCCTAACAGTACCAAAGGCTGGTAACCAAGACTTTAACATAGATCTTTGGAGAACACTCAAGATCCAAACTATAATAACTTCCTTATCAGCAAATTTTTTTTTTCTAAACCAATGCTTTTAAGTGGGAAGGGAACAAAGGAGAGGACAGGGGGAAGGAAAGAATGGTAGGAAAGTGGGGAAAACCCCAGGTAATATCACATACAGGTACAAATTCTCTGTGATGTCATCATTATGTATATCTAAAATGTATCAATAAAATCTGACTGAAAAAAGAAAAAAAGAGAAATCTCCCAGGACATCATGTTCCAGAATGGCAGCAGCAGAGACCATTTGTTCCTCAGAATTGGATTCAGATCCAGGAGGAGGCACTAATCCAACCCCTTACAGGCAAAGGACCTGTTCTGTATTCATGCCCACTTGCTACATGACTCGTTTCCCCAGGGACCTCATTTAATCAGTTTTACTGAGCAATTATACTTGTAATCTTACTATCTACAACAGTTCTGTCCCACTTGATGCCTACTCTGTGATTTCCTATCCCTTCCCCTTACACCTATCTCATCTTGTGGTTTTGTTCTACAAAACTCTTAGAAAAGGTGGGGTCTTTGGCAACACACTCAGGACCCCTTCACTCTCTCAGACAGAAGTTTTCTTTCTCTCAATAAATATATTGTGTTTATAAATAAATCAATGCAACTTGAGACCATACTCATAAGCGAAATAAATCAAACTCACATGTATAAATACCATAGTCTCCCTGGTGTAAGAAATGGTAAGAGTACATGAGAGTTTATAGTTATCATGATTCCCCATTACATTGCCTTGAAGCCTTATAATGTCTGCATTCATTAGACAAAATCATTCATTGGAATGGTTTTATCCTAGTTTGTTTGATTTTATTATCTGTGATAGTATAAACAGCTATTTTAAAGAAAACAAGACATTAGACTAGACAGTGCTGATCTTACTCTGTATCATCTTACTCTGAAGTCCTACTATGTTTTTGTTTTTCTGTTTCCTTTGGTTCGTTCTATCCTGTTATATCTTACTGAATATTATTATGTGTGATAGTATAAACAAACTTTCTATGGAAAATGAGATAATATAGTAGCCATTGTTCGTTCTCTGCTATTTGGTTCTGAAAGCCCTGTAATGCTTTCATTCTCTTGAATGGTTTTACACTGTTTTGTTATGTTTGATACTATTGTATATGAAGCTATGCTCAACTATTTCAAAGAAAGAGACATTATGGTAGTTACTGTTAATTTCGGGTTGTCTTGTGGTAAAATGCTGTTACTTGCATTGTTCTGATCTGATCTGCTTTGTTATGTCCTCTTTTGTCTTAATCTCTTTAAAATAAATTTATAAAAAATTTAAAAAATAAATATATTGTGATTAAAAAAAGAATTGGATTCAGAGCGCTCATCAATCCAGGTACTCAATCCCTACAGCCAAGAGAGAATGAAGCCTTGCTACTGCTCCAACTGGCAGCAGACCTTGGCATTATCCATGTGGTGCTGGCTTCAAGTGCACACAAAATGCAGGAGCTGTGGGGACAAGAAAGTTTCCACCTAGATTTCAGAAGGTCTGGGAGGCCAGGCAGTTGTACCCCTGAGAGAGTAGTGTATGAAACCGTAAGTATGAAACCAAAGGTACAGTGGAGACCCTAGAAGTTTGGAGAAGCCCAGAAACATGGATCATCTGAGGAAAACTACAAAGAGGGAGCAAAATGGTCTGAGAGAAAAGCCATGGGAGCTACAACCACCAACAGTGCCATGAGGTGATGCCATCTAAGCCCTGTGGAGTTCACATCTTGCCAAGGATTGCCTCGGATGCTTCACATGGAACTTAAATGCTTCACAAGACTTAAATGTTTGCCCTGCTGGATTTTGGACTTGTTGTGGTCCCATTCCTTTGTATCCTTGTTTGTAACTTTTGGAATGGAGATGTCTACCTTGTGCCATTAAATGTTGGAAGTGTTTAAATTTCTTTTTATTTGTACAGGGGTTCAGAGCTAAAAGTTTGCCTTAAATCTCAAAGGAGGTCTGGCATATAACTTTTCAGCAATTATGAAACTGTTAGGACTTTGAGAACTATCAGAGATGTACTAAATGCCT